CAGGACCTCATAGAGACCCCGCTGACCAGCTCGGGACTCCACTACCTGCAGACGCTGCCGCTGGAGGACTCCGTGTTCTCCGAGGCGGCCGTGGTCTCCCCCGAGCACCGGCGGCAGTCGACCTTGCCCACCCAGAAGTGCCACCTGCAAGACCACTACGGCCCGTTCCCCCTTGTGGAGGGTGAGCGGATGCAAGTGCTGAATGGGAACGGGGGAAAGCCCCGAAGTTTCACTCTGCCTCGGGACAGCGGCTTCAACCACTGCTGCCAGAGCCTCTCGGTCGGCGCCGCCGATCACCACGAAGAAGCGCAGCAGAAGGAGGTGGAGGAGGAGGAGGAGGAGGAGGAAGGCAAAGCAGCAGAAGAAAACCAGGAAGATAAAAGTAAGTATGGGATATTTCTGTGGCTTTTCAAGAGTCCTGTTTGTGTAACACAGAGGTCGTTTTCCCTTTTTCCTACCAAAAACCCCGACAGCCTTTCAACATCCCCTGTGTTTTACCAGACCCCCCTTGTTGCACACCCTTTTGGTCTTCCCTGTGTGTAAGGCCTGGTAGTCAGAGTGCTGCATGGCCTCTCATGATGATCAGTAGACACTTCCCAGTAGGCTGGTCACCAGTCACCTCCTACTAGTAATTCGTAGTTATAAATGAATTTTTGCTTCCATGCTTTCTTCACACTTCCACTTCCGCAGTATCCTCCCCCGCTGACATATGTATGTCTCAGGACATACTTAGCAAGTTTTCCAGCCAACCCCATCTGGGTTGTAAAAAACACTTGGTAAATCCTGTAGTGCAGGGTCAGGTTGTGATTGTGTAGCATCCAGGCAGGCAGGTCACAAGACAGCCCAGAAGCTATAAGAAGTTGAAAAAGAAAGTGTATTTGCCCCACTTCCTCACTTTGTGATTTATAGAGAGAAGTTCAAAAAACATTTCAAACAAACCAAAAAATTAATAGAGAACAACTGTATGATCAACGGAGCTTAAAAAAAAATCATAACGCTGAGTAACTCTCTCTTACATGGCACATTAACTCCATAAATATTAGTGCTACTTGTCAGAAATAATCCAAATAAACAGGGATTGGAGAAGGTCCCCGCTCCTCCCAAACGTGTAAACACATTTCTGTGTCTGTTTCATGCTTTGTCCTTCACTGTCATTTATGGAGCTTCTCAGCATGTGTTGCCAGCAAAGTTGACTTCACACCCAAATTGTAGGGTCAGTGAACCAAGCATACATCCATGAACTGTGGGGTTGTGCCATGATTAAGTTACCTGAAGTGGCAAGGAGAACAGGATGACTCCTGAAGCTCTCAAAAATGACTGTGCTATCTGGTTCCTTCAAATTTGCTTTTTTTTTACTGCAGAAAACGAGTATAGAAATGGTAAAGAGATAGGGAAGGGTAATTAAAGCTTTGGATAATTAACTACCTACCTACGATAATTCATTAAGGTTAGCAACTTTGTTGAGCGTTAAAATTTATGTGGACGTTATTTGGGCTACTTGGTAGAAATCAAAAGTTTTCCTTTGTCCATATGCTTTATTCAGTAGGTTCTAAGCATCTCAAGTTCTTGACTTGGAGGAAACGGTGTTTTCTTCTGCAGATGCTAAATTTGATGCCATTAAAAGTAGGCATGATTTCAGTTGTGTTCATGCATGGCACTTTCCAAAAAACCCATGCATTTATTAAGGTAATATTAGACTCCTACTGACTGTGAAATGAAGCTGTCCTAATTAAAAGGGATAAATTTCATCAACCATGGAAAATGTTTTGTCCTATTTTTAGCTTTCAATATCAGTTTTCAGAGAGGGTTTTACTGATAGCAATATAAAAATTTTTTTTTACAAAAATTTCTCACAGTCAATGGAAAGGGTCAAGGAGACTTCGCACTGGAGCTCACGTGCTCTTTGGGCATTACTCACAGATACTGTTGCAGGGCCTAAGTTGTTAGGTGTCTTAAATCTCAGTTTTAATGTTTTTGGCTTGCTAATAAAGAGCTAGTGCTTGATTTAAAAGGCCAGAAGTTGGGCTCTTCTCCATCTTTGTATACCAATTTCCAAATAAAAGGAGAAAAAATACAATTTTTGAAGTGGTCTCCCTGTATTTGCATACTTTACTTTTTCTGTGAGAGAGGAGGTATTTTTGGTTGAAGCTTTAACGAGAGATTGGTTTTGAGACATTAATGACCAGCTAGACAAGTAAAGTGTTCTTGATGATTTATTGACCATGAAATTATAAAACCAGAAAGAAAATACTGTTTAGTCTGTTGAAAAGTTTTAAGTGTTGAATTGCTTGTTGCTATGGCTGCAATAGTCTGTTTGCAATGCTGGCTTTTTCCAGTGGTCTTACCGGTAAAAGGCAGAAGGATTTTCATGCAAGTGGTGTTCTTAAGTGCAAAATCCAGTTTCTGAGCTGAGAGACTTGCTTATAACTGCTAAATCCACTAACGTGATGGGTGCCCTTGTGCGTGCTACATCATTGTGCCTCTCACCTCCATTGCTCTGGGAAAATGAAACATTGCAACTGGGTGGAGAAAGAGAATCCTCTCCCTGTTAGAAATGTTTTAACCTCACTTTGAACATTTTCTTATGTGGTATCAGATGAGCCTTTTAAATATATTTATTTGACTTATATATTTATGAACCTGACATAGTTCCGAGCTCTTGGATGATGATGTGTTCTCGTGCGTGCTTGTGTGTCTTTTAAAGCTTAATCATTCCTATTGCTTTTTGTGTGGCACAAGGGACGCAGCTCCTTTGCAGTTGTTGCTTTACAAGTCAAATGTCATTGCCAAAAGTTTGTTCTCTTAGCTTTTTTTTTTTTTACATTCTCACTTTTAAAACATCCTGAGTTTAAATCAACTAGTGAAATGCAATCCTGTTTCTTCTAACTTTTTTTGCAGAATTGTTTTCAAATAACCGCACCACAAATTAGGAGCTCTGTGCTTTTTTTCAAATGCTGTCCCCAGCTGATGTAATTTAACATAGTTCTGTTGACTTTCTATGAAGGCTACACTGATTTGCAACAACTAAGCATCTGCTCTCTGTTAATCACTACTTTATGCCTTAAATAGATATTGCAAGACTTTACTGATGCTGCAGATAGTTCTGTGTATAAGCTCTACCATAATGCCTAGATATATTGTGGTAAACTGAAAATATGGGTTCTCCTTTCCTGTGTGTATCCGTTAGGACTTAACTTTGTTGTGTGTTCAGTTGCATCTTTCTGTCTCGTTATATCACATTAACATTCCACTGCTAACCTTTAATGGATTGGTTTATTTCCCTAATTAAAATGAATTCTGTGTAAATCATTTAGATGTTCCATATTGACACTGCCCTGTGGTGGTCTTTTTCTTTGTATTCAAAGAGGATTCTCTTGTGGGATATTTGTATTTGTCTCTGTGTTTGCTCCTGAGGCTATGAAAATGGCCAACGACGTACAGACCTGTGGCACCAAACATAGTTCTTGCATTGTTCAGAGGCAGCCTGTGCACGGAGAGCAGGTCAATGGCCATGGCACGGCGCGTTGCAGTCCTGGGATCCAGTTGTCATGGACAAGTTGGGCCTTTTCAGGCTTGTCTTCTGCTAGTGGGAGATGGTAGAAGGAGACAGTTGTGCATCACGGCACTGTCAACCTCTGTGATTTGTATCACCTTGAAAAGATTTTGCCATGTTTCTTAAGCTTGGGCACACTCACACTTGTTCTCTGGCATTTGGCTCCATCACCGTAAGCCCTTGCTCACATTTCTAACAGCTCCTGACATCCCATGCTTACTCTCACAAAGTCTGGTGAGTGCTTCATGCTTCAGCCTCTGAAACACAGCTTTTGACCCTAAACCACTGAAGACACTTGCCAAAGGCCAGAGTAGGAGATGGTGCTGGCATTTTGCAGCTCAGAAAGACGTCCAGTCCCTTGAAGGGATTTCAGAAAAGCTCTGCTTGATGTCAGTGAGAGCTACTGGAAGATGTATCAAATGTTTGCTTGTGCTGAGGTACCAAGCCTGAGGCTTTCTTCTTTGCTTCCTAGTAAATAAATTAGGAATCAGCAAGAGAGTAATAAGAGAAACGGAGAGCAGTTTCTCCCACTCCACCTACAAGTCACAGAAATGAAATTCAAGGTGGCAGAGCTTTCACAAAATGGGACAGATGGGTTTAAGGAGTCCCATGACTAGCAACAAGCTTCACGCTCTTTGCCCCAGAAGGTATGTCTGTGACACATGGCAGGTGGCATTTGCCTTCAAGAGGGAGCTTGTGCTAGTAAAACAATATGCTCTGAATAAGGTTAAGTATTTAAAATTCTGATATACAGGTACAGGAAGGCTTACTTCTTTTTAATGAGAGGGCTGTAACGTGCAGTGCAAATGGTACCTCTCAGAAAGATCAATGTTTGCTAATTAAACAGTGTATTATGAAGTGGCGCACTGTGTACCACTCCTATATGTTGCTCCTCTGCCTTTTGGAGAGGGTGTCTTTTCACTCGGGCAGGCTTTAGACAACAGCGAAGTGTGGGAGTCAGGATGAATAATGTGTAAAACCTGCATTGGGCGCACTGGAGCTGATGGGGATGTGTGTCTGAAATTAATAGGGTGGTTTACTTTTTTGACAACCTCTTTCCATTTTAGAGAAGATACCATTAGTGGTGTCCTGTCATCTGATCATCTTGTTAGTTTTATGCACACCAAAAGGCAAGGGAGAGACTGTTTAGATACTATATCTTCCCTTTGGAATTTTACAGGTTAGTGAAGGTGTGCATGCCTGGTCGTGTCCTAAATAAATGGAGCTATGAGGGATGACGGGTAATGTTTCGCATTAGAAATAATCTCTCTGAGCCTGGGGAATAGCACAAAGTGCAGCACCCTCTGGGACACTGAGGAGGATGTTTTCCCCTCCCTCCCACCGCCTGCAAGGCACTAGCTTTGCTCTTAACTCAATGAGCTTGCCTAAAAATACCGCCTAGTTATGTTTAAAAATACAACCTTAAGCCTGTTGGTTTATAGCACAAATGGCTAGCCCACACCACTTTGGTATGGATAGTTTTTATATTTACAAGGAAATTTTTGTCAGTGACTCACGGCTTCAGGGAGGAAGGGACTGTGGAAAAGCAGGGCAAGACAGTTGCTGGTTCACCTGATCTGCTTTCCAAAGCAAATGCTCTACATACAAAATGTCTGGTGGGTTGGCATTTATTCACATACTTTTTTTTTTTTTTTTTAACTAAATCATTTTGTGCTTCATTTTTTGTCAGATCCAGTGAGATCCTATGAGAGCTGTTATATTTGAAAACGAATGGGTGGAGGGACAGCGTCATCGTTAATCTAGGTTATATGTCAGGCTAAACTTTTTTATCTTTGCTAAATTTGAAGATACATATTTATCTCGATAGG